ATATTAACATATAGTTACGAAAACGTATTGATTCTCACCGAATTTTTGTTATTAAAACGAATTAAAGTCGAATTGTAGAAGTGATTAAATGATGTAATATATTCATTTTATTTGTTTGGAATTAAATTGAATCTATTGCTCTGGACACCAAATGTACAATAGAAGTATATAAGACCTGGTAACCGAATATAAACGGAAAAGCTGTGACAGTCCCGATTGCAGCAATCATTTATCAAGCGCCTCCGAATTAAAATGTTCGATCTGAATATTATTATAATAGGATTCTGGCTGTTTTTTGTCACGTTTTTGTTTCACGCTATTTTTTACGTTGAATTCAGTCTCATAGGAAAAAGAAAGTCTGATTTAATCAAACTTTTGCTTCTAGAAGCATTAGATTTTTTTTCTCTTTTCAACTGTGTAAAGTGCTATCACTATAAATCAACCTTTTGTAAAGGTTATGAAAAGTAGAAGCACAGATTTGTTCGACTATTATGAGCTTGATTTTAATAAATCTTCTTGTTCAATGCCGATCGATGTTAAAGTTAGTCTGGATAACAAGTAAGACAAGAAAAAATTGAGATACAATCATAAATTAACAATAAATAATGAGAAAATCATGTTCAAATACATCACCCTTCCTTAGACAAGTTTATTTTGAGAATAATACTTGCAGTTCTAGATTAAGTCATATAAAATTAAACGTAACGTGAAATATTGTTGATCGATCTAAACTGTAATTTTTATCGAGAATAAGTTCATTACTCCATTCGCATCTACTCACTAAGAACTTCAACAAACTCACAACAACTTTAAATATAATATTTGGAAAATCATTTTCAAAAGTTTCTCGAAACAATTAGACTTCCTACTTGTAAAAAGTAAAGTTCATCAAACGATTAAAATTTGATACCAAAAAAGTGAAGAAGTGTATTTGATGAAAATAGTCAAAGTTTCTCTGGGTATGCCGCATGCTCATTAAGAGTTGAAGCAATGTTATTTTAGGCATCGCATTTAATGTTAATAAGTATTATGCATAAAAGTTAGAAATGTCGAAAGATGATTCTTAACATGTTCTCTCATTATTTTCCGAAGTAATAAAAAAAAAGAAATGAATTATAGAACAGAGAGCAACAGCTTAGCAAATAATAAATCTTATTAAGACCTAATGAATAGAAATGATGTCGGAAAATGTTTGATGCGCTCATAATTAGATAAGAAAGACTTACTAAATATGTAGGGCAATTCAGAAATAGAGCAGTCATTATCTTATTTCCGTATAGAAAGCTTGAAGAAATTGTGTTTTTTATATATAAGACCTGCTTTTCTGTCATATGTGACCGTAACACGAATGCCAATTTAGTGGATATTTTTTGAATAACTTTTGAGAGAAACACGATGGAAAACTATGGTTTTCATCGTTCGAAAGAGAAAATGAAGATGCATCGAATCATATATTATACAATTTCCCTAGTATGTTGTCTAAAAGATTCTTAATCAATTTTCTAAGTGTGAAAAATATGTTTTTTTTAAGCAAAAAAATCGTTTTTTACAGAAATAATCAGAAAAAATCACTTCTTAAAAGTTCAACTAGTATATTCATAACTCTTAAATAATTAATTTTAAACAGCTGAGCCTTATGCAGTTTTGTAAATCTTCCATTGGCGGTTTGAATACGATTCAATGCATCTTCGTTTTCTCTTCCGAACGATGAAAATCATAGCTCTTCATCTTGTTTCTATCAGAAGTTATTTAAAAAAATATCCACTAAATAGACATTTGTATTACGATCACATATGACAAAAAAAACAAATCTTATCGAAATTTTATTATTATGATATTAGTTGAAGAGTGATCAAGTAGCATAGAACAATAGAATATAATTTTCTCTATCACTACATAAAAAACAAGAAAATTCCTTCAAGCTTTCTATATTGAAATAAGATAATGACGACACTACATTTGGATTACCCTTAGCATATTGTGTAAAGGATGTATGTTAGTATTGCATGGTTATTTTTATAGTATAATCTTCAAGTTATTTTCGTATTATCAGCGAACATCTTTCAACATCGAATATGCCTGCAGTAAATATCAGTGACAGTGAAGTCAATGCAATTAATGCAACTAGCATTGCATTTATAAGTATTTGGTGCTATTTAATGATAATTTTTGGATTAATTGGTCATATATTGAGCATCGGTGTCTTCACACGTCCATCACTTCGTTCAAATCCATGCTCATGTTACTTTTTAGCAGCAACAATCAGTGCCATCGGTCTTGTTGCGATAAATGTATTGTTACGACTTCTTCAAACCGTATATAAAATCAATATTTACATGGGATCAGTAACAATTTGTAAATTTTTGAGTTGGTTGTTTTTGTGGATTAAGTAAAGAATGATTTTCTACATAATTAATTAATTTCTCTTTTTGTTTTCATAGAATACAGCATGGATGGTTTATTGCTCTGGCTTCTATCGATCGGTAAATATAATTACAATCAATGTTAAACCAATGTTAGATTCTCTAATTATTTTTCTACTTGAATTCAAAAATTTTTTCATTTCAAAACATTAATTCATTTTATATTTAAGAATCATGTATTCTCCTTTGAATACACATGATACAGTATGTTTTTCAAAACACTTAGAATTTTTTTTTTGTATTTTCATCTAATGAATCATGTATGTATGAATTCGATTATCATAAAAGAGTATCATTTTCATGATCTTCCATATCATATCACATAAGTCTTTGTTTCGTATTCTCAACATTCTCTGTTTATTAAAAGGGGCGATGAAATTTTTTTTTTCATTAGACATACTAATCATAGAGATTGGTCATATTGAGCTGACGCCAATAGAAACAATGAAATTGGTGAGCACTTGAACAAAGCTACGTGATCAGCGGTGTGTTCATGTGATCGGATCTTTCCATCATAAAGTGATCTGAATAATGAAGAACAATATCAGTCATCACCGTAGGTTTCTGATGCATGTACCAGTCTGAACCAAAATATTTAAGAAAGTACATCTTTTCCACGATAATCATTTTCGATAAAAATCTAGAGTTTTAAAATACAAAAAAAAAACGAATTTCTTTTATCCGAACTTGGTCTTCGTCAAAATACTTACGTAACTATTTATTTGGAATCAGACCGATTACCTTACCAATGTACTCTTAGAAGAGTTCTAACAATTTGTCAAATCACTTATAAGTTTTCTATTAAATCATGATAAAGTTAATTATGACCTGATTAATAGAATTCTCATAACTATTGAGAAATTTTAACAACTATTCATTATCTAAAATGAATATTTTTCTCATAGATTTTTATGTAGCTCATCGTCTACTTCCTATCGATTGCTAAGTAGCCTTCGTGTTGCTTATCGTACGATTCCTCTCACAAGTCTAATCGTCGGCCTCGCACACGTTCATGTACTCATCTATTTTCGAATTAATGTTAAACAGCAAACATGTGTTCCACTGCAAGGCATCTATCAAGAATTTTTTGGTGCATGGTATCTCGTTACATTCAGTTTAACTGCTCCAATGTTCATGCTCTTCTTTGGATTAAGTACCGTTCGAAATATTCGTCAATCGATTAGACGCGTTGGACAACATAATATTCAAATTCCAATACCACTGCACCAACTTCGGAAAAAAATAGACCGACAAATGATCGAAATGATGCTTGTTCAATGTATCGTATTTATTTTCACAGCATCTCTTCCTGCAGTATATTTTTTCTATACGTCATTCAGATCGAATGTGACAGTAGATACTCTACAATTAGCTAAAGACAATCTATTATACAATATTACTGGCTTTCTATCTTTAACAGTTCCATGTATGAGCTTTTACTTATTTACATTATCAAGTAAATTATTTCGTAATGAGCTGATTAAACTACTCAGTGGTCACTGGCAATCTTTAAAGACAATTGCTATTAACATCGCTCTATCATAAAGATACTAACATGTCGGTTTTCAATGTCGAGTTTTGTATCAATAATCCAATAACAAGCAATAGCATAACTCAAAGTTTTTTTTATATTCTAAGAATTATCTCAATGTTATAGCACAAACTTTCATTATATAATAAATGTCGTATTTCACATATGAATCATGACAACAACATTGATAAACATAAGTATAGTAACTCAGAGAGACACAATTATCAGCGATTATAGATTATATAAGGTAAATCTAAATTCAAATCTCATGTACTGGAGACTTTAATACAAACAACTTGAAATTAGTTGAGTAAAATTTAGAAAAAGATTAACCACAGATACGTGCTGAGTTGATTTTTGATCTATGTCAATCAGAATTATCGATTTGTTTTGATCATTGATTCATCATTTTGTTTATCAGCATAGTGTCAATTGTGATCTTGTAAGATGAAGAATATGTCATAACGGTCAATGTTATAAATTTTAATCTGTAAAATAAGAATCAGATTGACATATTAGGGTGTGGGTGTGAGTTAATGACAGAACTACAACCACAGCCACGGTCAAACCTCACAGGCACAGACAAACCCAAACCCTATGTTGTCTTTTTCTCTAGAAACATTTTATATCATTTCGGCGACTTTTTCCCTAGGAATTAAAATAAGTGATTTTTTTTCCGTTTACTTTCTTTCGGTGACGCAATAATAAAGAAAATGAGTCATTGAAAAAGCATTTATTTGCTTTTTTCTGTCACTGCTTATAAAGCTGCATCAAAGGTGTTGCCAAACTTCAGTGCAACTATAAGCCAACAACTATTATTTGACGCATCAGTTACGGTACATAGTCTTTCTATGTGGTGTTTGTTTTTTCCTGTCACGTATGAAAAAAAGCACGTTACATTTATTTATTTTTCTTGCTTTCTCTTTTTTTTTTGTATTGTTTTATTCTATTGTGGCTGTAGATTCTCGATGAAACTTTTCAAATCTGGAAAACCTCACCTCCTTCATCCCTCTATATATAGCTTTCTCTGCATAGCTATGTAGAACCTTTTGTACGTGAAATTCTATGAATTAGTAAAGCTTCTTTATGCACACTTTTTCTATCTCATCGCCGTGAATAAATGATGATCTGTCACATCGGCGTAATTAGACGTAACCCTAAAAAATTCGAATTTTCTCAAGGCCTTTAGATTATCATTTATAGATCCAGATGTCTATTGGAGTTTTATGAAGTCCTGAAATATCTGGTCTCAATTTGCTCATCTCTGATTAGAGGAACTATTGAACTAGAATAACAAATACATGAATGTTTCTGACTATAGAGAATGCGTGTTAATGACTAATTCATTACAAAAAGCAAAAATAAGCAACAGAGATCATATGCAAAACATCTTTTACTTATTTTTCCAAAGTTTTCAACGTGATAGTCGCTCGAGCATGTTTCTTTTATTTTGCTTCCAGATTGATATTATTGTGTTAACAAACAAAAAAGAAAGATGAAAGATGACCCTTAATTTTCCATCTGTGATCATCGACGATTTTCTTTATCATGGTAACTTTAGCAATGCAAGTAACACGTATCTGCTTAAAAAACTCAACATTCGACACATCATTACTGTATGTAATTCACCATTAGACAAAGATGTATCGGATCAGTTTAATGTGTTATGGATCGATGTCAACGACTTGCCTGATGCCAACATCCGCCAACATTTCGATCAAACAAATGAATTTTTGCATGCATGTAAATCCAAAAACGAGAAAGTTGTAGTTCATTGTCAAGCAGGTATTTCTCGTTCATCATCAGTCGTTCTTGCTTATCTGTTAAAGTAGGAAAAGAAATCTTCGCTTGTTTTCGAATAATTGATCCTTTGCGTCGTATTTTTCAGATATAACAATCAAACACTATATGAAGCTTACGATTATCTTATCGAACGAAGGTTCTTGGCCCAACCAAACGACGGTTTTTTGCTACAACTAACTCGTTATGAGAAGGATTTGTGCAACAGCGAAACTGTTGGTAATACGTGAAGTTTCAAAAAATCGTTCAGTATCAAAGCGGTTCCTTGTATCGTCAAATCGACATAGATCCAGGATCTGCAATCAGATTCTGTCACTCATTAAATTTTTATACAGAAATGCGTGTTTTTTCATGTTTGATACGCGCTTAAATATATAATAAATAGCTGTTAGCGCAATCCCTTGCGGGATTAAAAATGTGAAACACGAAGTAGCTGTTGTTACTAGTCACACGAATATGGTTTTCTTTGATATACCCTGCGACCGATTTATTCATCATTTCTTACTTAATTCTCTAGAACTACCACAAGAAAGCAGTTGATATATTCTTATGAGATTCTAGTGATATATAATCGTAAATCATGCATCAAAAGATCTGCCGCGGTCTGTGATGGGTATGGATTTTCTCTGTCACCGTCTGTGTAGGGGGGGGGGGGGGGGGA